TACTTCTGTGATGGCACCAAAGGTGACAACATTTATGATGGCATGCCTAAGGTGCTACAAATGAAAATAGTTACCGCTGCCAATATAATTGCCGAAAAAGCTGACCGTCTTGTGACAGATGATACAAGTAATCTTGCCGAGGCAGTCATGGCACTGGTAGCCAAACAATCTCGTGGTAAACAGATTAACAGATGTCAAAAGGGCTCTTATGAACACCGCTGTTATGGAGCTCGGCTCAGCTTTCAGCTGGGGCCACAGTGGCACTGCACCACATCCAAGGCTGTAACCTGCAAGAGCCCCGCAGCCATCTTGAAGCGCTACGCAAGCAAGAAGACGGCTCAAAAAGCAAACAAAGAGTCTCTCAAAAGAAAACTGTTTGAAGAAAATGGCCACCAGCAGCATAAGCGCAAGGAGTCTACGGTGAACGACTCAATGATTCATTATGGTCCGAATTGCCAGCAGCCAGACATGCCACCAGAGCAATATGCCGAGAAAGAACGGGCTGTTTTAGCAAGCCTGCAGGTGAATGAGAAACAGCAGATGGAAATTGAGAAGGCTACTCGAGGACAGGCTGATAATCCTACATGGCATTTTGAAAGAAACATGCGCCTAACGGCGTCGAATTTCTATGTAGTATGCCGAAGGAGGGAGTGGACACCGTGTGACACGCTCGTGAAGACCCTGCTCTATAAGAAAAATTTCACCAGTGCCGCTCTTGAGCATGGAAGACAACAGGAACGTGTTGCATTCCGGTTATACGAGCAAGAAATGGAAACTGCTGTGCAACCTTGCGGATTATTTGTTTACCCAGAGTACGGATTCTTGGCGGCGTCGCCAGACGGATTAATTGCGAGCGACGGTATCGTGGAGGTGAAGTGCCCATTCACTGCGAAGGACATGGAGCCATCCGAGGCAGCTAAAAAGTACAATCAAAGGAGCCAAGTACACGAACCACCCAAATTGAGCTGCTCTCATAACTATTTCTACCAAGTGCAAGGCCAGCTGCATATCACTAAAAAAAGTTTCTGCCACTTCGTCGTCTGCACGTCGAAGGGCATCCACGTACAGCGGATCGAAAGAGATAATGACTTTTGGAAATTCAGAATGCTTCCACAACTAATCAGATTTTACAGAGACTGCATGTTAACTGAAATTGTAGATCCCCGTACTACGCGCAGCATGCCCATACGCAGACAACAGTGGAATGTGAAAGCAATTGAGTCACACCAGCAGTCTAAACGAGCTTCGATAAAGAACAAGGAGGCAAAGCAGAGTGGCGACTCGGACATTTTCCACAGCCTTGAGTCGTAGGACTGCTGGGCGCGTGCACTGTCAAGAAATTCACCAATTGTGACGATGCTACCTAATGGTGATTTTGAGCGCACTTTCGTGTTGGGGCAACGCCAAGTGCATCTGTAGTTTCGGCCATCTGCAGTTGTAGCTATTTACATATTTCCACGCAAATTGCCAGTGCTCGAGCGTTACGCATACCACTTTGTGCATTGCAGGCGTCGCGAACCAAGCGAAATGCCGAGAGCCCCATTACGACAAGCGAAGCCAGCCGCAGTGCACGTGCCAGCCCTGCACGCGCGCGAGCTGCTACGGGGGGGGGGGGGGGGGGGGGGGGCTAGCGAGCGTGACGGAGGAAGAAGGCGAGGTTAGAGGCCAGTGGCGAGTGACATCAGCAGACTCCGCGTTCGCTCTCTTTCGTCCTTGTTCGCTCTATTGGTTACGCCGACGACGCCAACAGGCGCCGCCGCTCAACGCAGCAGTATGTGCGTAAGAGCTTCGCTCTAAAGAACTGCACATTAGGAGAACGACCTTGTATATATCGAATGGCAGATGCAGGCTCAGATTTGACGATAGCAAGACTCTCTCTCGAACAAGCTATGAGGTAGCAATTCACTTCTTTGTGTCGGGTGTGTCATCAGCCATTCACGTGCGTTCTGCAGCAGCAATGACCGAGAGACATGACCACAGAAGCGCCAATGAACTTTTGTAAAAAGTTCGTGTGTGATATAGGATAACGGAAAATAATAATAAAACATACACCTTCATTCTCTGCTGTCACAAGTTCGCATCTGAAAGTCGTGATTATATGTACTTTTGCTTTGTGCGATTTCACATTTCTCTGAATGCATGCGTTGTAGTTCTGCGGGCTTTTTTGTGTGTGTGATGTTCAGGTGTCTTCGTGGCTGTAACCAAGTGCTGCCGACGCTCGTTTCGTACTGAATAAATTGTCACAACAACGTGTATTGACTCAATCTTGCTTACTGCATGACAGCCCTTCATTGCATAGCATATACACAACACTAAGACTCGTTGCTTGAAGATATGTTAGCCGACATAGTTATTTGAATTGACCAATCATGCATCCAAAAGCCTTATCCAGTGCGACAAGACCTTTTCTTCAACTCCTTTGCAACTATTGTATTTGTGTACTCATGTTTTTGCCTTGCATGCGCTTTACGAACTCGAAATGGGTACGACATAGAAGTAATACAAGCAGCGGCTGTGTAGAAAGATGCATGGGAGATGCACTGTACCATAAGTCTTCCCCTCCCTTGTTGCACTCCTGGGAGGTTTGTGTGAATCCGCCCCAGTTTTATCATGAGATGTTTATAGAGCTTGAGGTAACGGCCTCGAATCTACGAGCTTGCAGTCAATAACTGATTTGGTCGAAACGATCACTCTTCATGTTATTGCCACGACCTTTACAGAAAAAAAAATGATGTTGAAATAGCGTACGCGAATAGAGAAGTCGTTCCTTGGACAAGGGAATAACGCACCTGGACCATTCAGGCCACGCATGTGCGAGTCTCGCTCATATGACACACAAGAGGTAATTGCTTCATTTTCGTCATAAAGATAGTTTGTCGACTAGTCCGATGGTTTGCGTACGGCAACGAGATAAATAAACGCTGCATCAACCAAAACATGAATTCATACTAGCCTGCTGAAGTTTCAATTCTAATGAAATAAATTACGCTACGTATAGTGTGAAAACTAATGATTATGCAGTCGGCACGTGTTGGGCACCGTGAGTCACAGCGGCCGCACTTCTTAGCACGCGATTTGCCTAACTACCCGTTTATTTGTTTTTTTTTTGAAAATTTGGAAGCTTAGGTCATACTGGGAAGGAAGTATACATAGTCAAATATAATTTGCCTTCTCCTGTCCCACCGAACCGCATCATGCTCCAGCAACCCCAATTATTTGTAGAACGAACTGTTTCGTTGAACCTCGCATGAATACTCATAGTCCAAGTTTTGATCTCCATTGTATACATTGTTGTGACATCCGCGATAAAGTTTTTCACTCAACCCCGCATTCCGGCAACGTATGGAACATAGAGCAGCTGGCCAAGCAGGCTACGCAGCCTACATGAGGGATCTCTTGAAAAGCAGCGACCGCAGGGGTCAGGGGCTAGTGAGCATGGAGGGAGATGCAGGTGTCGTTGAAGGGGAGAAAAAAAAGCCCCTGCTCAGTGCCTCATTTCTTCGAACCGTGTCAGCGCGATTTGCACCTCCTCGTCATGCATTGTGGCGCGCCGGCACACGTGTGGCAGTTCACCTCCGAAATGTTGGCCTTCCAGTCCTGACTTGGTGGCGCCGTCTGGTATTTTTTCCAGAACTACTCGCAATATGGCGACTGTAGAACCGCCACCTTAATCTTACCACCTGTAGTCAGCTGATGTCCTCCAGCCATCCAGGTGGTGTACAGCCTTCGAACATTGTCCTTGAAGGGTTTATTCAAGGACACGTCCAAACGCTGCAGTATCGATGTGAGGCCGCCCGGAATCACTGCCAGATCTGTGCGCAGCTCCTTTAGCTCATCTCGTACGCGGTCTACTAGGTGCCCACGAACACTGTCCAGGACAAGCATGGACGGCAACAACAGACCACCCGGCCGCCGAGCCCAGACTGTTTTCACCCAATCCACCATGAGTTCCGCGCTCATCCAGCCTTTTTCCTGGACTCTGACGTAGATGCCTTGAGGGAATTTTGCCTTTGGGAGCGTCTTACGTTAAAAAATAACGTAAGGCGGTAGCTTACGCCCATCCGCTGTCACCGCCAGCATTACGGTGCATCGTTGTTTATCAGCGCCAGACGTTCTGACGATGACGCTCCGTGCACCTTTCTCCTCCACTGTCGTGTTCCACGGCATATCAAAGCAAAGGGGGGTCTGATCAGCGTTGCCGATCTGGGACAAAATGAAGTCTTTCTGCTGTCGCAGCTTTATAACAAAACTGTGGAAGTCCACCACTTTGTCTTCATATGCTGCGGGCAAGCGCTGGCACAAGGTGGTCCGCCTTCGCAGTGCGAGGCCATGGCGCCGCATGAAACGAGTTGTCCATCCGGAGCTGGCTTTGAACTCTTGCTTCGATGCCCTGCGCTCGGGGTATTCTGCGCACCTCAGTCTGCACAATATCCAACGACACAGCACAGCCGTCTTGTCGTAGCTCCCGTATATGCCGGACCAGTTGCTCTTCGACGTTCGGATACCTGCCGGTCTTGGCACCGCGGAAAGCCCGTCGTGTATTCTTCGTCGCCTTAAGTTTTTCTTCTTGGTCCCTCCAGTACCGAATACTGGTTTCTCCAACGCCGAAATGCCTGCTTGCAGCCCGGTTGCCGTGCTCCAGCGCGTACTGCACTGCCTTCAGTTTAAACCCAGCCGTGTGGCTCGCGTACTTCCCCATGGTGGAACCAAAGTTCAATACACGACCACAACATATGCACACCGCTTGCAAAATGGCGTTTGTATGGCGATCGAGCCCCCGGCGTTGTACACGTGACCTCCAAAAAGCGCGGCGATTTGGGGGGTATCAGTAATTGATGGAACAGCCGTTTTTTTTTTTTTCCCTCATGGACGTTTTTTTTTTTTTCAAGTTTTATTTCTACAAACACATTGGTTAGGTCGCTGCACTTCGAATTTTTTTATTTGCTCGTCGATTTGCCTTTTTTTTTTCTTCAGGGTACGGGGACCGCGTTCCAACTGTACCGCTGGGGGGTAGAATCGTTTCTGATCACGGCCAAGTTTGGGGTGCGCCTATTATACGCGGAATTAAAGAAAACCGAATTTTCCGCGACCAAAATAGGGGTGCGCCCATTATGCGAGTAAATACGGTGTATATATATATATATATATTAGCAACTGGAGTGCACTAAAAAAATCACTAGCAACTGATAACTATGTTATGACTGTCGTCTTCTATCACTCTTTCTGCCACTGTGTATACCATGACGAGTTAAGCAGCGAGCATGGAAGCCTGGTTCCATAAGTGTATGCCCTTCTTCCTATTCTGCTCTAATAACTCCAGAGCCGATGTGTCCGTACGTTTTGGATCTGTCTGTGCAAAATTCTGTGAAGCCTCGGTATGTTTCTATATGCATCATAACCAACTAGCCCCTCAGTAAGTGTTAACCAAGACTAGCCCCCAGCATTCAGACTATTTCGGGATGAAATCACTGCAACTGAGACCGAATCTATAACCTTGGGGTCAGCAGTTGAGCAACGTAACGATTGTACCACTGTGGAAGCTTGTGTTATTGGGAGTGATCCAAGAGTTTCTTTCATACGTGATGGGCTGGGCATATTATGCATGCTTAAATTCAAATCAATCAAGTATTCTAGCGAATGCAACATGACAGCACTTAACATCACAAAGCACTCAAACCTCAATATAACAAAATTGCATCCTAATCAAAATTGATTCATTATACCCTAAATTTCATTATAAAGGTATACTTCGAACCCTGTATCTATTGCAAGGCTATTAATTTACTACTGATATTTCATTATACATGGCTTCGTTATCTCGAGGCTTGAGTGTATCACTAAATTTCACATTTGATTGATGATGATTGATGGATATGTCGAATTTAACGTCCCAAAACCACTATGAATTTCACATTTGAATTGTGATAAATATGGTATTTGAGAATGGACAGTTTGATACAAGAAATCGGGCCTATATACATTTACAAATGCATAATACTATCCAAAATTAGACATACAAATAACTGAGGAGCATATATGATACTTTGAATTATCTGATGCAACACAGAAATGATGTTACCAATAGATGTTACCAAAATGTACAGTCACAGACAAGTGAAACATGAATAAAAAATTCCAAAATGAAACACCTTCTGTAAGAAGTCAAAAGCACAATCTTGTATTGGCAGTTACATAGTGGTAAAATACTTCTTTTTTTTTGGACCTCACATCACACACGAGGTAAAATCATGCTAACATTAAACATACAGGCAAAAAAAGGGGGTTTTAGTTAGTCATAAATTAATTGCGTTTCAATTTTTCACCACTGCACATGCAGGTCTGCAATTATAAAACACAAGAAATGTGGTAATATGTAACCAAGGGCTATGCATTGTTTCTTTAGAGATTTAAACATGGCAAGACTGCTCTAATCATAAATTGGAATGAATTCAAATAAACAATACATGTGTACTTAAGAGCAAGGCATTCTAATTGAATGAGTGGAAATATTTAGTGGTAGTTAAGAGCCGTATTTATTGGTTGAAAGGGCTCTGTAAGTCCTTTTAAATATAGCCAGTAAATGCTGCCAATTAGTAGTCAACTCTTCTGAACATGTGAACCAAAGATTATGTTAACCAAACCAGGGCATTCGATTGTGGCTGTATTTTAAGCAAAGCATTACTTGCTTTTGTCACATCAAACTACGTACTAACTGGAAAAAAGTATTACATATATAAAGGAAAGGATATAAATATTAACCGAATTCTTGATTGAAAAAGCTTCCTCAGTAATGCTTCTGTTTGTTTTGGGCTCAAGCAAAAAAAATGTACGTGCCTTTTATAAAAAACACCGAAGTTATTTGGCACTCTCATCTGATCTTACATTGGCACTCAATTGATGGAAGTCAGCTTAACGTCTAGTGTTGTTCTATTTTCATGTGTGGAAACACTGGGAATGCTGCGTGCAGCACTCCATTTTAAACACGTGTCCCGGAGTCACTTGCCTCATTCTGAGCCTGCTAAAACAGTCTCTATCAATGCGTGCACTCATTTCAAAAACTATTGTGTCATTTATCAGTGCTCGCTTGCTCTCATAGATGCCTCACAAGTTACATGCATTTGCAGACATCGCTTGGTAGTCAGACAATTGAAACTGCTTCAAAATGAGTCGGGTGTATTTGGCTACTACCTGTCTGTAAAGCTGGTGTATAACAAGGCTGGTGTCCTGTATAACAAGGCTGGTGTAGTGTACACCAGATTTTCAGGAATACAGGCTATCTGTGAGCACAACAGTTGTGCTTCTCATGCTGCGCAGGTAGCCCAAGCAGTTTCAGTTAAAAACACAGTTTCAATTGCTCCCGATTTACATGTGGACACCACTTGGCTACCCCTCTATTACTTCGCTTTCACATTCCCCCTGGGAGGCTGTGCTGACCAGCTCAGAGCAGCCTCTGTTGATTCAGTGGGCACACAAAGTGGCAAAAGCCAACAGGGCCTATAATGAAGGACTATACTCAACGAGAAATATTCGTTATCATAGTACTAAACATTAAAGCTTTTCCCTCTATCTCTTAATAGGAACTGCGGCTGTCATGAGGTGGCGATCTATATAATGCTCAAGGTCATGATGTGTGCCGACATAGGTTCTGCCCCCTTGTCATTCCTTCCAGTGTAGCTTCCAGTGAAAGAGGATAAACTGCTCGGAGCTAGTGACTAACCCTTATCACTCCACTGACACTTGACATATTTGAAAAATTTTTGTGGCAAGAGATTTGTGAGGCAAGCTCTTAAAGTGTGGTTATTACACGATTAGTTGAAAAAGTGTTGCAGGGTCCCTTTATGAAGCTTTTGCCCCTGCAAAACAAAAATGTGCTATCCTACTGAAGAGGCATTTGGAACATGGAGGTTGTCCTCATATCCATTGTTTCTAACTACAGTCAATGTTAGCCTACATTACACACAAACGAAAATTTGACTACTACAAATAGTGAATTCTCAAATGAAACAGTGGGGACGATGGATGTATATCAAATGATCTATACACTACTTTTTAGGAGAGAATGTGCCATGGAGATTGTCCTTTGTAGCAAAGCATAAAAAAGTGCCAACATGCATAGTGCAACTTTATTTTTTAAAATCAAAAAAGGTTACAGCTTTACAGCTATTGACTTAAATACCACTACTTTGCAAATTTACAAGTAGGCGTAATCAGACAAGATATCAATTACAGAATGCTAAAAGTGACTCACAAGCATCTTTTTGCTTTATCACATGTCAACGAACTTAACTTCAAACAAAAAAAACTTCCCAATTTACATTTACACAGTACGCTATGACAATAAAACAATTATAACACGTAATATTCTGAAAAAATTTACACCAAAGCTTCATTACTCAATATTAAAATATTATGGTCCTCACACTCGGGTAGACACATCAGCAGGAACAAATCTTCCATATGCCAGTTCTGTTGGCCTATCTACTTCAAGTAAACATTATCTCACATCAGGCATGCATATACAAGAGTAGTCATTCGAGCATAATAAATCTTTGGATGTTTCTATGCATCGCATCACAGTAAAAAAATATATTACAAATGATACAAAGCACTGCACATCACCACAATCTGAAAGACCAAGACAGGTGCCCTAAACTATGGCACTTACCAAAAATAACAAGGCTTGTATCTTTTACAAAAGAGAAATGCTGCTTGTTACTATACTATATAATATTTTGCATAGTCTAAGATTTCTTCTCGTTCCAACAATGACTTAGTAAGTATTGCAATGATCATAATCTAGGCAGGCACATTTTCAAAAGTAGATGGATGGGTAGGCATAAGCAACATGGTGCAATAAGTTTGCTGCCACAGCCTCACAGTCTCCAATGCAGTGAAGATAGAAAATGATGGAAGTATCAAAATGCCACAACATAATCAGTAAAACGGCAACAGAATCTGTCCAAAGTGATGGAATCAGGCCAGTGGTGGCTGGTCTGCCGCACGTGTCCATTTGATTAAAGTCTCTGGGGAACGATACAAGAATATCAGTTTGGCAAACAGGTCTTCTTCAAGGCTTAATTCACGGCTTTCCCGCACAAGGTAGATGTCAAGGCAAAGCTGCAGCACACGATCCACATTAGGCATGTCATCAAACATGATGGTGAATGAGCTGCCAGCCATGAAACCTCGGATCAGACGAGAAACGACAAGCACGAAGGTGGTGTATAGCCCCGCAATTCTGCAATGGTATAATCAAAATATAATTAAAAGGACATTAGATATAAAGGCTGCAAACCATACTCAATACTAATACAATGCACTACTGTACACACTGAATTCTTTATTAATTTTTTTATGGAGACAGCCAACCTACAAAATACCAAGATTCACATAACCTTAGTAACACATGTGGGTCATAAATGGCAGGGTGGCATAGTGACTTCAAAATCAAAAGAAATTCCAAAGTCTATTTTTAAACACCAAGCAAACTGCAGATACAGAATTTTTGGCTCTATTATACTACAGCACAATTCTTTTAGGACCATGGCAGTGCATGTCATTTGCGATAGCATGCTCTCACCCCTGTAAACTATTCTATAATACACTCTAATTTTCAAACCTGAAGCATTTATTAGCAAAAGAAAGGCACTTTGACTATATCTATCTATACAAGTCTTTATCCCTATCTCGTATTCGCAGCCGAGCGCCAGGTTATCGATTACCAAGTAGCTGACATGCTCAAGCGTGGCCTCATCCAGCCTTCGAATAGCCCCTGGGCATCTCCAGTCATTCTCGTTAACACAGAAGCAAATTGACCCGTTCTTCTTTTCGACTACCGTTGTCTTAACAAAATAACTCCAAAAGATGTTTACCCCTCACCAAAAATCTACGATGCCCTTGACTGCCTCCACGGTGCGCAGTTCTTCTCTTCTATTGACTTACGGAGCGGCTACTGGCAAGTCCCTCTGGCATCTGAAGATCAGCCTAAGACGAACTTTGTCACACCTGATGGCTTTTACGAATTCTGTGTCATGCCTTTTGGTCTTTCCAACGCGCCCGCAACATTCGAGCAGATAATGGACAATCTTTTACGTGGCCTGAAGTGGAAAACATGCCTGTACTACAACGATGACGTGGTTTTATTTTCATTAGATTTTCCAATGCATCTCCGCAGGCTAGATGAAGTACTGAATTGCCTAACTGACGCTGACCTTCAGCTCAACCTGAAGAAATGTTGCTTCGGCACAAGTCAGCTCACAATCCTCGGCCATGTTGTCTCTAAAGACCGCCAAGCTTCGAGCAGTTGCAGAGTTCCCTAAACCTGCGTCTCTGAAGGAACTGCGCAGCTTTTTTGGCCTCTGGTCATATTTCCGCCACTTTATTCGTAATTTTGCGATGATCACTGCCCCCTTGGCTGAACTTCTACGGAGCGACTCGAAAAGTTACGCTTGGTCACTCGCCTGTGACGATGCCTTCGAAAAGTTGTGCCGCCTGTTAACCTCGCCACCAATCTTGCGTCACTTCGACGCGACTGCTCCAACTAAGGTACTATACACCGATGCTAGCGGTGTTGGACTCGACGCCGTGCTCGTGCAGCGCAAATCGGAACTCCAGGTGTACGTAGTCAGATGCACAAGTCGTACCCTCACCAAAGTGGAGAACTATTCTGTGACAGAGAAGAAGTGTCTGGCAATTATTTGGGCTCTTGATAAATCTAGACCATACCTATATGGTCACCCGTTCGAAATAGTCACCGATAATCATGCGCTTCATTGGTTATCCACATTGAAAGACCCCTCCGGCCGTTTCGCTCGGTAGGCTTTGCGGTTGCAAGAGTTTGACATGCGTGTTGTCTATAGGCCTGGCCGACGTCACACTGATGGCGACGCCCTATCATGTTCACCTGTCTCCTCCGAAAGCTCTGCATGCCTATCTGCTGTGGACGAAACGGTTGCGTTCCCAGCAAACTGCGACATGGTCTCTGAGAAACGTAAGGATGACTGGATCAGTGGTCTTTTGTGATTCCTTTCAGGCCCATCGACTTCTCCATCTTTCCGAAGAGATTCACGATGGCCTCCTTTATCGCAGAAGTCTGACGGCCGAAAGTGGTTACTGGTCATACTTCGCCATCTTCGTGCAGCAATATGTTCAGCTTTTCACGTTGACCCTCAGTGCGCACATGCGGTAGTCTTCAAAACATACGCTCGGCTTTCCTACCGGTTCTATTGGCGAGGCATGTACACCTTTGTGCGCAAGTACATTCAGTCACGCCCGCAGTGTCAACGACGCAAAGCTCTTCCTCATCGCGCCTCTGGACCGATCCAGCCAATCCCTTGCCCAGCCAGGCCTTTCGTACGCGTCGGAATCGATCTGCATGGGCCTCTTTCATTCACAGCTTTCGTAAGCCGTTGGATCGTTGTTGCTGTCGACTACTTAACGTGATACGCAGAAACAGCCGCTTTGCCTGCTGCCACAGCACGCGACGTATCATCTTTTCTCCTGCAGAACTTCATTCTCCGTCATGGCGCACCGCGTGAACTTTTCGGCGACAGAGGACGTGTGTTCCTCTCTGAAGCCGTCAACGCACTCCTTGCCAAATGCCGTATCATTCACTGAACTACCACCGCCTACCATCTGCAAATAAATGGCTTGACAAAGACATTCAACCATGCCCTAGGCGACATGATATCCAAATATGTTTTCTCAGACCACTTTGATTGGGACCTCATTTTGACTTTCGTGACATACGCATATAACACTGCTCTACAGGAGACTACGGGCTTTTCACCATTTTTTTCTCTTATATAGCCAAGACCCTTCCACCACACTAGATACCATTCTGCCCTGCCACCCCGATTCCTCCGAGTCTACGCCCATCTCTGAAGCTGCCCACCGCGCCGAGGAACGCTGTAAGCTTGCCCAGTTGTTCACAACCATCGATCAATGAAGACAAAAATCTCGGCGTGACGATAATCACTCATACCCTAACTTTGTTCCGGGCACCCTTGTGTGGCTTTGGGTTCCTTCTATCCCTACAGGTCTCTCCTCGAAGCTTCTTTCAAAACACCAGGGACCCTACCGCATTATCTCGCAGACTTCACTTGTTAACTACATCGTTGAGCCCGTTACACCATCCACAGACCAGCACTTTTGCATTCGTGAAACCTTTCACGTACAGAGGTTGAAACCGTATTACAATCCGCTCGTACTACGTTTTCCGTGGGTCGCCAGGATGGCTTCTTTTCCGATGGGGGACAAATTGTAATGAAGAGAAATGCCCACTACTGCAGCGACATCACGCATTGGTGAGAGGCGCGAGCTAGGACTGCCTAGTTGCTGCTGCAATGCTGCCCATATACCGGACCAGCTCTTGCTGCTTCTGTCCCAATGCTGCTACCGCTTTTGACCTTGCATTTACATTATAATATATAGTATATACAAGGTTAAATAGGTTTTTCTATATGTGCACCAAAAATTGTACAAAAATTTCAAACTTCCGTGGAAAGGTTCCACTCCACCAAAATTGGATAAAAATGCAGCTCTTACATAAATGTATCATTACATCCATGATGCTCTCGTAGTCATTTTGTTAACATCGTACTAGACAGCAAAATTAGCATGGTGTATGACAGAAGTGTATGTCAATATTTATAATAGTTCATGAAATGAATGTTTTTAATTCATGTCATGGTACAGGTGAAAGAAATTTCACAAATGACATGACACACATTATAAAGCCATAGATGTCATTTAAATTAACACGGTATATACCAGAAGGCAAATATATGGATGACAATCATGTGGTAAGGAACGGCATCCTGCAACACTTCTTGAGCATGGTCAGACAACACTGCCGATCGATAGTAAAGGCTCCTGAGAACACTCGAGCCAAATATTATAGTGTAGCACGTGGCCTGTAATTCACAATAAATGATCAAATTTATCTGAAAATTCCTTGCTCTTCTCTCGACAAATGATGGAAGATACTAAAGAATGACTCGTAGAAGGCCTTGTATTAGCCTTTGGCCGATTTGAACATGGCGTGTTTGGTCATTACGGGGATCACCGCGAGAGGCTGCTACTTGTCCACGCATGTGCACATGTTCGCAGTAGAAAAGCCATGTATTTGAAGAAAAAAAAAAAAGTGCTCAAGGTCATGAGGCACGGGTGACGTATTTTCTTCGCCACTGTCATCCCTCCCTGCTTAGCTTCCAGCGCTTTTGTTGGGATGAGAGAAGAAAGAATGCCTTTGCAGCGTGCGACAAATATTTGTAAGGCAGTGACTATGGTGACGAGGCCCATCAACTCAGTACTATCGTTAGAATGAGGGGGCCCTCAGCGTAGTGTAATTGTGACTGCAGTTACGGGGCTCGTCAGTGCAGTACTATCGTTAAAGTGAGGGGGCCCGTCACCATAGTGGAATTGTAACAGTGACAAGGCGTGTAATAATAGTGATGCAGCTATAGCGATGGCCCCGTCATTGTAAGGCAATGACTACGATGAAGGGGCCCGTCACCTGAGTGTAATGGTAAAAATGAGGGGGCCGTTGCCGTAAATTTGTAGTCGTTTTAGACACCACGGTCTAGCTGTTCTAGTGGCTTAGTGGCTTGACGTGCAGTTGGAGAAGCGGTTGTGTCATGACGCATGTTGTCAGTTCTAATTCCCGTTTTCAAATGCTTTATTTTTTTTTTGTTCAAGGTAATGTTGCAAGAAAATCATGTCGTCTGCGGTGGTTGTTAGACGGCCCTACCATGTGAATTTCGTGGCCCAGTGTCGTTGGTGTTCGACGTTGGTGCGAATCGCGCTCTTTTTAATGTTCTTTTCTCAGAATTGTTTAAAGTATTGTTACTTGTTTTTAAATGATAATCATGTTTATTCATCGGGGATATAACTATCAACCTTCTTTTACATCCAACGCGCAATGACAAACTTTCCACGATAATTTCCAATTGTTACAGCACTGGGCTAGCATATTCCCCTGTATGCGCGCGAATTAACTTTATTATCGCATTGAACAACCACCCTTGGCGTGGTTTCTGTTCCTTTGCATAGATACTGTAGCTCCAACTAATAATTCATTACACATAATGTGATGTTCCCAAATTAATCCGTTCCGTGTATTTTTCGTGTCGCTGTATAAAGGCGACATATGGGCTAGCTGATGCCAAACGTTGTGCAGGTCAACATAAAATGTGTTCCAACCCTGAGAGCTGTGTAGTTGGACAGTGACTTCAAGCCTCCTTCGCCTGAAATCACATACACAGGCTTATTCATGTGATCAAATCGGTTCCTTCAAACAAGGGGATACGCACGTTTTGCCCCATGAATGTGTGCTCTTGCTATGCAAAGGTGGATAGACATTTGAGCTCTCTACGGTCCAGTAGATACTCGCACGGTGGTGTGCTCTCTGTAGCTGTCTTCCCATCCTGAGACGATGCTTGTTCTGCGGGAGCGAAACGTATTCTGCATCGTTCTCGGTGATCAAAATGCGAGTGCGCTGAAGTCGTGGGTGTGACTGGTTGTCTGGATGCTTTGATTTGCAAGTGCTGGCTGGTGCGGCTGAGGGCTTGGGTAAACCACAAGGTGTGACCGACTCGATGAAACGAATACGCAAGAATGAACGTGCATCTAGCAGCGTTGATGTATCCTACGATGAGGGAAGGTAGCCGTATAACGCAGTAACCTCACGTAGCAATAAAAAACAAAAACAAAAATAAAAACTTCTCCAATCACTTCAGTAAGAACACAAACAGCAGCACTATGTAACAAGGGCCAGGTCATAATAACATCATTACCGTGCTACATGTATTAATTGCCTCGATGCAGTAGTGTCTGTGCACGCGCTTTTAATGGTGGTGGTGAAAACTCTGTACACTTGCAGTACTGCAGTAAATTTCATAGTGGGCGGAGCTCAAACCAGGGCCCCGCGGCAGCTGCCACTCAGTGAGCCGGGTTCGTCAGCGAGAACCTCGACTCAGGTGATCGCCCAGGTTTTCGCTCGCCAGCGACTCCTCCCATCGCTTCACTGTAGAATGCTGCCTTAAAAATAGGCAGCATTACTCGAAACAATAATGAAAGCAGAAAAGAAAGAGAAGTTCAGTTGGTCAGCGTGATTCGAACTTGAGTCGCACAGAAACAACGCATCATGTTGCACACCAACAACATACCCACTGCACTTCGAAAAATCAACGCGGTAGGGATTATTAACCGGCACAAACAGCGACGCGATTTTCTCGCAAAAAAGCAAAATTATGACTCCTTGAAAGCAATACAGCATTAAAAAAAACCATAAAAGGTAAAAAAAAATCCAAAACGGGATTTGAGCTGACGACCTGCGGCACGATCGCATCCCGAACTGCGCGCGCGTCAACCCACTACGCCACCAGAGCAGCAGATGATCGGCATCTAAAATGGCTACAAATTTAGGGCAAGCTGCAAATTTACGGCTAAGTGATAGGGTGTGTGCTAATTATGGCTAATAGTGTCACTGATGGCTAATGTTGGCCAAGTGTCACCTAGTTGCATGGTGGACAGTGCTTACTGATGTAGGCTTGTGTTTACCACCACTCGCTAATGTTGGTTAAGTGGAGGCTTGCATTGACTAATAATAGCTTATTTTGAATGAATGAGAGCTAGCATTGGCTAATGCTGGCTTTTGCTGTCAAAGTTGCTAGGAGTGGATAACAGTCTACTGTGAGCTAGGCTTTCCTAGCCTAATGTTGATTACAGTTCTGTGGTGGTGACTATCTGCCATTATGAGAATGTAATAACTATCAAAATAAGTATACCACTAAAACCTGCCACTAACAGTCTAGTGACGCTCGACCCAGCATGAACATGCCAAGAAATGTTGCTTGTGGTATGCATGTCAGAGCACTGTAGCATGTATATCTCTGTGTTAATAGGGCATCTGCACTTAAACATGAGTATATTGACATTACTTAGGACAATAAACTACACTTTAGGCTTCACAGTGAAGTCAGCATGCCTTGAAAGCCTGTGTCATGCACACAACTGTTTAGTTTGCATGAAGCAATCGATAGGCTTTGTAAAAAATAGCTCGAAACCAAACAATGCAACATAGTCAGCTCCTCACTGACTGCTTTGTATAATGTCCATTTCCAGAGCGCATAGAATATGTGAGAAATTCTATATCTTAATACTGAACTTAAGAAGGAACTATTTGAATGATGCCAGTGGCAGGTATGTTACGTTACAGAGAAAGCTTAAATAAACCACAGCTACACGATTTGTTCATAATGACACACGTAGTGCAGACTTCAACACAGATGCCAACATTGACAAGCACTGCCGTTTAAGAGGGTCATGTAAAGTACTGTAGAGTGCCACGTGCATTCTTTATGCTTAAATGAAAACTCAATGCTTGAACATTTATTCTCTTGCCTAGGCTAAGCACACTTGAAAGTCTTCTGTTAAAAGAAGTTCACGGAAAAAAGTGCACAGTCAAGGACACAAGAAAGTCTGCATGCCTACCTTCTGCGATGAATCTTCACCACCCAGCACAACTTTGTCATTCTAAATTTATTGTAACTGCTGGAGCACTAAAAATGGTAGTAATACTTAGAGATAAAATATATGGTTGAAATGAATAAAGTGAACAAGGGGAGGATCTGAGATCAAATTGTAGAAAATGAAGTACTTTTTCTTTTAATACTGTAAATGTTATTGGTCCTGTTTACTAAAACTGATTAATATGTGAATTTTAATGTCCCAAAACCACCATATAATTATAAGAAACGCTGTAGTGGAGGGCTCCAGAAATTTCGACCACCTGGGGTTCTTTAACGTGGGCCCAAATCTGAGCACACGGGCCTACAGCATTTTCGCCTCCATCGAAAATGCAGCTGCCGCAGCAGGGATTCGATTCCGCGACCTGCGGGTCAGCAGCCGAGTATTTTAGCCACTAGACTGCCGCGGCAGGGCATGTTTACTAAAAATAACACGGCAAGATACAAAGAGCCCATCACTGATGTAGCTATTAAATTCACACATGCTTCAAAACCCTAGAATGCATTAGTGGTGGAAGTACCAGCGACTAGCAAGAATACTCTTCTGATGCTACTTCAAGAGGGGCTGTTCCTCTGTGCATCCGTTGTACCATACATAATGAGGATAGTTACCAGAAATTACATCATCACTGCAAAGCAGCTACAAGAGGCACCAAATATAAAAACACAATTTTGTTCATGTTCTTGCAGTTTTCTGAAGCCTTCCGTTACTAGTGAACAGATGTAATGGAAAAGAAACTGTTAAAAAGGTAGAAAGGTTTGGAAGTAGCTTTTCAATAGTCATGTAAATGCTAGAAACTGTGGTTGTGAATTTACAACATAATTAAGGAATGAAGGCTTACCCATATCCTGTCAGCTGTGAAAGGGCTTGAGGGAAGACTTTGTCATTGAAGACAACTAGGCTTAAGTCGGTGCATGAGCCTTGATCATCACGCAGGAATGGATACGGATATGAATCTGTACAATGCTCTTGCACTTCCCACCATTCACTGCGAGCACTCAAGTTATTAAAGGCTCCAGTTCGCAGTCGAAGGGTCAAGTTGCGGTATGGTTCCATACCAGGCGTGTCTAGAGCTCGAATTACGTCCGATTTGCCCTTGCGCGGTACCAGGAGGAAGCGGGGTAAAATAGGAGGTACCGTAACATTGTTGGGTGTTCCATGAAGCATCTCCGCCAAACTCTTACGCACTGCCTTGTCAGAAATTTGCACTGTTCGCTCATTGCCGACGACTTTTTCTGCATTAGTGTTGTCCACTGATCGAGAGAAGGCCCAGCTGAGGCGAAGAGGCACAGCGGAGCGGTTCAACTCTGCGATAAGGGCCTCCTGGCTCGGAGGGCTCACTGTCCAGATGGCAGTTGAGTTGCCGTTCAACGTCACCACAGCAACATCAGCTGCATCGTAATTGGCCAAGAATGCTTGGGCTGCTGCACTGGACTTGTATTCTGCCTGGATTGAAAAAAACAGACCCACCAGATCCATCAGAATGATAGCTTTAACTTTGATCTGCTTATATAAACTCAATCATATCTAAAAAAACATGCCAATTTCACAGAACAGATTTTGCATTTGTAACTATCTAGAAAATGGTGCCTGTGCACAGTACATAGTAGGTGCAAAGGGGGGAAAACGTATGTGAGGGTGAGCTGAGAAGCATTGTGGATTGATGCCACAGTCCTAAGACGTACCCAATAAAAGCAGAGAGGAGACGGGAGAGTGCGTTCCCACCTCCAGATCTAGCTTCGTTGCGGTGGCACTATCTTTCTATGTAGCAGAGTTCATATGAGCCTAGCACCCCCTATCTTGCATGTACCATTTGCCGTAGGTGCAAAACCTGAGAAAGCTAAGATGGCTAGTGGCTTTGCGTGCACAGTTTTCAGTACACCTGGTGTTGGAAGTCCTCGGTATTTCGAAGGTGCCCTGAAGCGAGAACCAACACGATTATTTTATTCACTTCTGTCTACGGTCAGAGTGAGATCCATTTCATATTTGCCGAAGTGTGCGACACTGTATGCCTGCTAATTTAATTCAAAGCAAAGGTCTACTAAAATGCATGTGATTGATAGAACTAAGAACCTTCGTGTAGTACCAGTTGACTATTTTGTTGCTATTAATATTAATAATACTGCACCTACTTGAGGGCACTGTGCACCTGCTATTATTTCTTCTGTTGTTCTTGTTATAACACAGTAGAAACTTTAACCAAATAAATGTCAACCAAATAGCACAATTTAGTGCTCTTCTGCTCTTGAGCTAAACTGCAGCTTTACTTGTTATTGCAGACCATGCCTTACTCAACTTAACATTAAAAGTTAGACTACTGCTTTAGTTTCAATGAAACATTTGCATGATGATGATGATGATGATGTGTGGCATTTTTTGTGCAAGGGCCATTTGATGGCCAAAGAGCACTATTTCATGAAACAAGAGATGTGGACAACGATTATGGTACGTGGCTGTATAGGCACCTTAAAATTCTGCACACGAAGGCACGTACAAGTCCAACTATTAAAATAACGAGTGTGATGTGAAATGTGTGTAGTGAGAATGAATGTCGAATAATTGTGATAATAAAACTATGAAGGAGATACCTGGCACTGGCAGAAGTGTCTTGTAAATGCCCTTGAATGTAGATGCCCTTGAATGAAAAGTGACTCCCGACCGATGAACGTTGCAGAATGAAACGGTATTTGTTGTCAGCAGGGTAATGGAAAAAAATTGTTTTATAAGAGTGCCTAATTCTTCACATTGAATTCAAATGTGAAGCATGATTAGTGCATCACATCTCTCACATAATGGTGGATTCCCACTAGACAAAAGGCATGAGTGTACCATGTATGTATGTCCTGTTCTTAGTCTAGTAGGTGTTAGTTTTTTTGCGGCGTGACTGATAGTGATGGCCAATGACCGAGTTGTGACTTGATAATGTGCAGTTTATTAGGTGTGTGTGCGCGACCCATGCGCTCTGCAAATAAGGGCTGAGCTTTCGCTTCAAAAGAGGTTTTAGGCCAAGTGCAGGAATAGCTATGGATGTATCAGCAGTGGCTGGGTTGACGGTGCAGCTAGCTGGTCTGCCAACACGTTTCCTTGATTGTCATGGTGATATGGCACCCAGCACTATACAGTGAAACCCTGTTACATACTTGCCCGGAATGGGTGCATAACTATGCACTAAATGTACTACGCATCAACCACCAGCAATAAATTTGCATCTCCTGACATGCGCCATTGCCGTCAACAAAGGAAACTCGCTGCTACGGAAAATATTGCCTAAAGTGCCCACAGCAAAGCCACTTGATTCTTTTTGCCGAAGTCCAGAAAAGTGCGACTCTCACACAACTGCTCAATAGCACGCGGTGGCAATGCCGATGAGCATTTCGAAACTTCTGCGGTATCTGGAATACGCAGCATGGTACAATGAAAAAATGGACACAATCAGCTGTCTGTGATACAGTTGTTACACGGCCTACTTCTAAGCGAAAACTGACACAGTTTTTTTTCTTTTTAAATGCGGTACGGTTGCAGAGAGCCAAATCGTTTATTGCATGGCTAGTTGCATGCAGCACTTCGCTCACTCGGCGCACATCGTGACTGCCGATCCACTTGCTGTAGAGTGCGCAGTCTCCGCTTTAGGCCATGCACAGATGCGGTAAGTATCCTGCTGGGTTAACGCACAAGATGAAGAGCTTTCTGCAAGAAATGCGCTCTCCACAATGCTCTACCAGTCCTGGCAGTGAACCATGGCATGCTGGGGGCTGTCGGTGAATAAAAGCGTGCAGCATGGTTACAACAAAACTACGCTTGCTGTATGGTGCGCGTGTTGGCATAACACAGCAAGATTTCTCGGTGCCCGCGACCTGCAACGCTAAACTTCGCGACAGCAAGCTGCTTGCGTTTCTGTAAAGCGGTGCGGTTTTGAACACGGTCCCACAAAACGAAGCGGTAGCGATTGGTGGCCCAGCGCGTTCAGGTAGTCTCCTGCTAAAAGGTCTTGGTTCGACGAGCCTAAGAAGCAGCCAACGCCAATGGGGTCCCGTACTTCGGATCCCCACCTAGTAGTTGAGGGTGCAGTCCTCTTATGAGGCGGTCACTGCATACCTCCCTTGAGTTTTTTTCTGTTAAATGTTTCTACCACCACGACCTACTACAAGTAAAATGGAGCTATGCCACACGCATGCCCGAGCAGATAACCGGGGATATGCTTACTGTGATAAGGCTTTTCGTCGGTGGTTGCCACCCTGCTGATTACTCGCAATGATTACTCGCAATGATTACTCGCAATGTCATCGCCGCAATTGCGCGAAAGTCTGAATAACTATCGGCTGATCTTCACACTTATCAACATGATGTAAAACTGTTCACGGCACATTGTGACGTCCGGAAGTTCAGCGGCGCAGTAAAATTTTGGGGTGCAAAATGTTATCGCGGTACGCAGTTAGTACACACAAACCGATAGGCATAAGCCGAACACTACAGCTTGACTCTTTCGTTACTGCGTGAGAATGGTTGTTTTTCATAGGTCTTGGGAAGATCGTTTTTCCAAGTTTGAAAACTATTCCAGCACACATTGCAGCATACCAAACTTTGCAGAATGAAATGCTTTTACCAAAAAATATAGGTAGTAGAGCAACAAAAATATTTTAGCATAAATAAAAATGAGGAAAGAGTGAAATTTTTCATCACCAGCTGGTAAACAATGGAATAAAAAACACTAAATATGCAAACATATTCAAAACAAAGAAAATTCAGAATATACATTTTGTAGATAAATGATCCAGGAACAGTATAAGAATAATTGATGTTTTACAAGATATTTCTGTTTACATAGACGAAAAAAATCAGAAACGAGGTGCTGCTTCATTGCTCATGCCATGTGGTGAAGCATTGCACGGTTTTTTTCGCGAGACACAAGTCTACTCGTACACTCTTCTCAGTAAATTTTTGTTGCCTTGTGATAATAGTCTCTAGGTATCTAATACAGATGGATACCCATGATGTGAATAATCCCTCTATAAATGAGATGTCCAATGAACTTCGCTATTTCAACTAGCGTCACCTTTTTCCACGAGCCACCTCACTCCGCATAGATTGTTGTTCCAATATATGCATCCAAGTATATACCTTTCCATCTTTGTGCATATTGTAATAAAAAAAGGACAATATCGCGCCCACTTCTAAAATGTTTCGCCCTGCTCCGCAGTCAGGGCCAAGATGTGCTCCGGGGGCCACCTTGCCATTAGGAGAAGCTCTGCAGCCAGCGCCACCACATCGTGCCTTAGCAAAGTGTGGACCACGCATGTAACCTGAGTAACTATAAGATTATACACAAAGGTCAGAAGGTATATGCACTTGTGGCAGAGGAGATAACTTGAGGATGCAAACAAAACAAACCAATGAACGGCTTCGAATGTCTCAGGCTGACGCAAAGCATCATCGCCATAAAACTTGAAGCTGAGGTGCTGTCATCCACGAAATCTCGGCTTGCTCTCACCTCAATTCAGGTGGGCTCACACGACAGTTTCAAGCAGCGCATGTGCTTTGCAGCGCTGATGCACCCCTATGCATGCGTAACGACCGCGTAATAGAAGCGACTAGTGACACTAGATGTGAGCCTGTGTCTGATATATAAATACAAGCAAAATCAAAGCGGCTGAAAACTGGCTGCGAGAGCCCCCTGCACACTTTATACATGCGGCGGACCATGGGAAATATCTTTTTGCAGAATGAATTTTCCCTGACTTCTATAGACAGCTCCCTATTGATTAGCTAGCATAAATATCCGACAATTATTACAACTCAACTCGGTCAAATTGCGAAGCTAACACATTAATTCGATATTCGGCTTGCAAAGTTTCTTTTCATTACAGAACTTTGATGTTACTGTAGAATATTCACGAGGGGCACGCACTTCTGTGAAGTTCGCCTAACTAGTGCATTTTTCCAACTACACACCTACATTGGTTCGTGTAAAAGTCTATAAAAAAATCGCTATGTTGCCCAAGTCGGCAAATTCAAAAAAATTCTAAAAGTGGCTGAAATAACTACTAGAAAGTGCTGGGTACACGAGAAAGAAATTTAACATGCCAAAAACGATGACCAAAAAGTGTTGATCACTGATGATCAATTTGAATAGGCATGGTAACAAAAGAGTTAAATGGTCTGCGAACGCATTAGTCTCTATGGGACTTGGTCGGGGATTCGTCACAACTATGTTTTAATTTTGTACACCTAAAGTGGGTACACACTAACGAGGCTTGACTGTACAACATACTGTCTGAGTGAATAGAAAAAGACAAAGGACACTGCTTTTATGTTTTTTTTTTCAGAGTTTTGAGGCCTCTTACCATGCTTAAGAAACGGTGCATATCACTGCAGTAGTTTCAATTGTTTAATGTGTTTGATGGCTAGGAATATGGTGTAGGCCTGTGCTGTGAATATGCTTGCATCAA